CCCCGGATCCCGTCTCCCCCAAATGCCCAACCAGGACCCCTGATCCCATCCCCCCCAAATGCCCAACCAGGACCCTGGATCCCGTCCCCCACAAATGCCCAACCAGGACCCCGGATCCCATCCCCCCCCAAACGCCCAACCAGGACCCCGGATCCCGTCCCCCCAAACGCCCAACCAGGACCCTGGATCCCGTCCCCCCAAACGCCCAACCAGGACCCCGGATCCCGTTCCCCCAAACGCCCAACCAGGACCCTGGATCCCGTCCCCCCAAATGCCCAACCAGGACACCGGATCCCGTCCCCCCAAATGCCCAACCAGGACCCTGGATCCCGTCCCCCAAACGCCCAACAAGGACCCCGGATCCCGTCCCCCCCAAATGCCCAACCAGGACCCCGGATACCGTCCCCCCCAAATGCCCAACCAGGACCCCGGATCCCGTCCCCCCAAACACCCAACCAGGACCCCGGATTCTGTCCCCCAAACACCCAACCAGGACCACGGATCCTGTCTCCCCCAAACACCCAACCTCGAACCCAGATACTAATCCCCCAAACGCCCAACCTCGAACCCAGACCCTAACCCCCCCAAACGCCCAACCTTGAACTCTGATCCTAACCCCCAAAACGCCCAACCTTGAACCCAGATCCTAACCCCCCCAAATGCCCAACCTCGAACCCGGATCCTAACCCCCCAAATGCCCAACCTCCAACCCAGATCCTGCCCTCGCCCATCCTCGAGCCCCTCCCCTTTCGCCCAACCTCGAGCCCAGACCCCTCCCCTTCGCCCAACCTCGAGCCCAGACCCCTCCCCCTTCGCCCAACCTCGAGCCCAGACCCCTCCCCCTTCGCCCAATCTCGAGCCCAGACCCCCCCCTTCGCCCAACCTCGAGCCCAGACCCCTCCCCCTTCGCCATACCACGAGCCCAGACCCCTCCCCCTTCGCTCAACCTCGAGCCCAGACCCCTCCCCCTTCGCTCAACCTCGAGCCCAGACCCCTCCCCATTCGCCCAACCTCGAGCCCAGACCCCTCCCCATTCGCCCAACCTCGAGCCCAGACCCCTCCCCATTCGCCCAACCTCGAGCCCAGACCCCTCCCCTTTCGCCCAACCTCGAGCCCAGACCCCTCCCCTTTCGCCCAACCTCGACCCCAGACCCATCCCCGCCCAATATAGGCCCCGGCACTTCCCCCTCCCTTGCAAAACGTCAGCCCCGGAACCTACCTTCTTCCAATCGCCAAATCTCGGCCGTGGCCCTGCTGCCCCCCAATCGCCAAACCTCGGCCGTGGCCCTGCTGCCCCCCAATCGCCAAACCTCGGCCGTGGCCCTGCTGCCCCCCAATCGCCAAACCTCGGCCGTGGCCCTGCTCCCCCCAATGGCCAAACCTCGGCCGTGGCCCTGCTCCCCCAATGGCCGAACCTCGGCCGTGGCCCTGCTCCCCCCAATGGCCGAACCTCGGCCGTGGCCCTGCTCCCCCCAATGGCCAAACCTCGGCCGTGGCCCTGCTCCCCCCAATGGCCAAACCTCGGCCGTGGCCCTGCTCCCCCCAATGGCCAAACCTCGGCCGTGGCCCTGCTCCCCCAATGGCCAAACCTCGGCCGTGGCCCTGCTCCCCCAATGGCCAAACCTCGGCCGTGGCCCTGCTCCCCCCAATGGCCAAACCTCGGCCGTGGCCCTGCTCCCCCAATGGCCAAACCTCGGCCGTGGCCCTGCTCCCCCAATGGCCAAACCTCGGCCGTGGCCCTGCTCCCCAATGGCCAAACCTCGGCCGTGGCCCTGCTCCCCAATGGCCAAACCTCGACCGTGGCCCTGCTCCCCCCAATGGCCAAACCTCGACCGTGGCCCTGCTCCCCCCAATGGCCAAACCTTGGCCGTGGCCCTGCTCCCCCCAATGGCCAAACCTTGGCCGTGGCCCTGCTCCCCCCAATGGCCAAACCTTGGCCGTGGCCCTGCTCTCCCCAATCGCCAAACCTTGGCCGTGGCCCTGCTCTCCCCAATCGCCAAACCTTGGCCGTGGCCCTGCTCCTCCCCAATCGCCAAACCTTGACCGTGGCCCTACTCTCCCCGATCGCCATGGCCCTGCTCTCCCCAATCGCCAAACCTTGGCCGTGGCCCTGCTCTCCCCAATCGCCAACCTTGGCCGTGGCCCTGCTCTCCCCAATCGCCAAACCTTGGCCGTGGCCCTGCTCTCCCCAATCGCCAAACCTTGGCCGTGGCCCTGCTCTCCCCAATCGCCAAACCTTGGCCGTGGCCCTGCTCTCCCCAATCGCCAAACCTTGGCCGTGGCCCTGCTCTCCCCAATCGCCAAACCTTGACCGTGGCCCTACTCTCCCCGATCGCCATGGCCCTGCTCTCCCCAATCGCCAAACCTTGGCCGTGGCCCTGCTCTCCCCAATCGCCAACCTTGGCCGTGGCCCTGCTCTCCCCAATCGCCAAACCTTGGCCGTGGCCCTGCTCTCCCCAATCGCCAAACCTTGGCCGTGGCCCTGCTCTCCCCAATCGCCAAACCTTGACCGTGGCCCTACTCTCCCCGATCGCCATGGCCCTGCTCTCCCCAATCGCCAAACCTTGGCCGTGGCCCTGCTCTCCCCAATCGCCAACCTTGGCCGTGGCCCTGCTCTCCCCAATCGCCAAACCTTGGCCGGGGCCCTGCTCTCCCCAATCGCCAAACCTTGGGGAGAGCAGGGCCACGGCCAAGGTTTGGCGATTGGGGAGAGCAGGGCCACGGCCAATCGCCAAACCTTGGCCGTGGCCCTGCTCTCCCCAATCGCCAAACCTTGACCGTGGCCCTACTCTCCCCGATCGCCATGGCCCTGCTCTCCCCAATCGCCAAACCTTGGCCGTGGCCCTGCTCTCCCCAATCGCCAAACCTTGGCCGTGGCCCTGCTCTCCCCAATCGCCAAACCTTGGCCGTGGCCCTGCTCTCCCCAATCGCCAAACCTTGGCCGTGGCCCTGCTCTCCCCAATCGCCAAACCTTGGCCGTGGCCCTGCTCTCCCCAATCGCCAAACCTTGACCGTGGCCCTACTCTCCCCGATCGCCAAACCTTGGCCGTGGCCCTGCTCCCCCAATCGCCAATCCTTTACGATGGACCTGACCCCCAATGGTTATGGCCAAACCTTGACCATGACCCTGCCCCTCCCAATTACCAAACCTTGACCATGGCCCTCACTCCATCCCAATTGCCAAACCCTGGCTGTGGCCCTCACCCCCTCCCAACTGCCATATACCTTAGCTCTGGCCTTCCCTCCAACCATTTACCTTGGCACTGCCCCCTTGTGAAAAGAGAACCCTAGGTGACCCTCACCAAATGGCAGCCCTGGGGCCCCCTTATCCTAGTCAGCCTTGCCCTACTCCCTTAAAAATAGGCAGCCCTGAGGTCCCAACCATGGGTTATCACTGGATGAGTTAGGAAAGTCATCACTGGGCATGGGAGAGACAGACCCCCCCCCCTTACACTAGCTCTGGGCTCCTTTCCCCCACATCCCCCCCAGGTGCACCTGCAGTGATCAGTCCTAGAACCTTCACCACCACGTCAGCCCCAAAGTATGTCACTGGAACCTCACAACAGCCAAATAACTAAAGTAGCAGATGCACAACTGGCAAATTAAGTAAAGCATTCAGGTACTTATTAAATAAGTACCAAGTTCCACAGGTCTTCACCCCCAGTCCTAGACCAGGCCTCTACTGGAAAGAAAACATTACAGGAATAAAAGCTAAAAGAGGAAAGAAAATGCAAGTACTGTACATGAAATATATAGAAATTTAAGCAGCTCTTGCATGTACAGGAGAAAAAAACACCAGTAATCCCACACAAGTGCAAAACAATTTTCAATTCACACACAAGAGAGTACCTCCAAGTGGTTCCTGTTTATCTACACTAACCAACTCTGTTCTTCAGGATCATGCACAAGCCAGTATGTAATATCAGCATAAGGCTCACATTATTATAATCAAAGGGGAAGCGCTAAACCCGTAGGATTATACAGCACCTGGGGGGGGATGTGGAAGGCATTTTGGCTTAATTCAGGGAACTGGAGCACAGATCCAATTCCCCAAATCAAGAGCACCTCACCAACATCAAGGAACCTTCCCTGAGGGGATAAGGCTCACAAACTAGGGAAGGCAGAGATTCGGCAAGTGTGTGCCCAGGGTGGAGAGTAATGACTTTTACACAAAGCCTTGTAACACTGGTATTGGTAGTTTAGGGGAAAACTCTTAGGCTTGGGAGAAAAAAAAAATACTCTACAGGAAGACTTTTAAGGTTGGAGTTTGAGAAGTTGAGAGATGCAAGTCAATGATGTAAAGTCAGTGTCAAAATACTTTAATCATAATTAGAGTGGTTACAGAGCAAGAAAGTCTGGACCGAGGAACCAGAAGCATAATCTACACAACAGTAAAGAACAAGATCTGCAAGATGATTAATGACCATTCTTTAGCTGAAATAACTCACGTCTTGACACATTTACTAACCCCATATGGGTCATTCAGCACAACATAGCAATTCAGAATGATAGAGAATCGACCTCAAGTTAAAAGAGAGGTGAGCACAGGACAGTCCTGGGCCCCACCACTTGACAGCTGGCATATACCACCTTCCATAAACCTAATAAAAAAAAATCCAAAACAATACCCTGAAGAAACAGAGCAAGAAGAGAAGTTACACCGGCGACCACTACCAATGTTGCTGTCACACACAAAATTAAACACAAAATGACAACCTTCCTTCCATAACACGCATGTCCATTTTTTTAACAAATCTATTAAACTTTAAACTTTTTAATAATAGCCTATTACTGTCTTAACACTTTAGGCACTACCTTGAGAGGAGGATCCGCAACTTAACGCCAGGATGTTGCAAAGAAATGCACCGGCACATTGATAACACCATACACAAACATCCAGGCCAGGCCCCCCCCAACACTCAATATTTTCCACTAGTTTGGGACTTTCCAGCCTCTAACTGACGGCGTTACTAGCTTCCAGAGCCGGCCTACACACTCACCCACAAGCAGCAAGCTCAATACAACACCTGCGTGTAGAAGGACTCATGCAAAACTGGAAATAAACAGCTCACCAGAGTAACAAACTGTGAAAATGGCGGACACAACTGCCACTATCTGCCACGTCGCGGCGCTGACGTCACGTCACGTGACCCACCACTTGCCATCACCGCCGCCAGGGGGACGACCACACCACCCTCACTCTTACACCATTTTTACCTCATTATACACCATCCTTACACACTCACTCACCTTTAATCCAGGTTCAGAAATATATTTAGATGACGGTTGTCCCCCCAGAGGAACTTGCGATGTTGTTGAGGTGACTGGTGAGCCTCAGCCACGGCTTAATGACTCACTAAGTCAATGGGACTTTTTTTTTTTAGGGTTATCCTATGTAATTTACATGTATGATTATTGTATTTATGTGTGTACTTGTACCTAAATAAACTTTACTTACTGGTCCACAAACTACATATTTACTTGAGTAAAAAAAAATCTGGTTTATCCTATTATATTAAGCAAGAGGAAGTTTATATCAATGTCAGATACACTCGTTGCTACAATTACTAAAATATTAAATACGTATCGGTGAGAAGAACTCTACTGGAGTAAATGATTTGTTTATGGAGGTTAGGATCATTCCACAAACCAGAATAATATTTATTGACCTACTTGAAAGATATTTCGACATATACATTGATTTTAATAAGCCCAAAATCTTGTCTTCTTTCAACACACCGGCCGTATCCCACCGAGGCGGGGGTCACCCAAAAGGAAAAACGAAAGTTTTTCCTTTTAACTTTAGTAATATATACAGGAGAAGGGGTTACTAGCCCCTTGCTCCCGGCATTTTAGTCGCCTCTTACGACACACATGGCTTACGGAGGAAGAATTCTGTTCCATTTTCCAATGGAGATAAGAGGGAATAAACAAGAACAAGAACTAGTAAGAAAATAGAACACCCAGAGGGGTGTGTATATATATGCTTGCACATGTATGTGTAGTGTGACCTAAGTGTAAGTAGAAGTAGCAAGACGTATCTGAAATCTTGCATATTTATGGGACAAAAAAGACACCAGCAATCCTACCATCATGTAAAACAATTACAGGCTTTCGTTTTGCACTCACTTGGCAGGACGGTAGTACCTCCCTGGGCGGTTGCTGTCTACCAACCTACTACCTAGGAGGTTGGTAGACAGAATCATAGGCATATAACAGTAAAGAATGATGGCGACTTAACCTAGGATAAGTAAGTTTATTTAGGCGCAGGTACACAGGTTCAATTATCATAATGTAAATTACCTAGGATAACCCAAAAAATCAGACAAACTGACTTATTTTCACTGGGGTCCTACAAAGCAGAATAGGATAATTTGAAGGCTTATTCTGTTCACTTCGGTCACATTATTGTAATAAGTCGCACTTAAAAGAGGAAACTCTCAAGTGCGGGTTAAATCTCAACAAGCCGATTTATTCCCATTAACATCCTTCTCTGGCAGCCACTCTTCGTGGTGGGAATTAATAAGAGGAGATGATGGACAGCCGTGTCTGGGGCTTCCCATGTTAATGGAGACACCCCAGAGGCTCTAACACCTGACCAACTCCATCCATCTTAACCTTTTTCAGAATTTTATTGACGGGTCAGTTATCAAAATAGGTTGCACCATATTGTGCAGCTGCCTTGATCTATATTACATGTTACAAGGAACAAGAGCTGTGTTTACCTAACACACTCATAGCACAGGATATTTTTCTGACCATACTCTAGACAAGATGGATTTAAATTCAAATTCTAATTTTTATTGGTTTGCAAAGTTTACAATGTGTAATTTGCATATTACAAAATAGTGTGAAGCACAAATAAAACCTCTAGCATGTTTGAGCATTTCGGGCTTAGGAAATCAGGGGCTTTTTTCATAAACTATGTCAATGACCTGTACCATTTACTGTTTGTAAGCCATTCTTTATAGAAAATAAAGATTTTTTTTATTAGAAGTAGTAGCTACGGTAGTTATAAATGTTTTTCTTCCAGCAGCGCCGAATTACTATATTCACGTGGAAGCGTTAAACCCGTGAGGGGATCATACAACCCCTGAGAGGTGATCAGGTCAGAGCCAAAGAAGGGAGAAAGTGTAATAGACGACTCTTGTGGGTCGTATGCAGAGAAAATGTGTTAGAAAATTCCAGTCCGGCTGGAATGTGTGTGTGATGTGTGTAAGAAAATATTCCAGTATTGTAGTACCTACTTAGAGTATGTTAGTGTTGGGTGAATGGTACCCGAGTACCTAATTATGTTAACGAAAGGAAAGATTGCAGAAGAGAGTTTTACACATATCAAGGAGGTTTTAGATAGCATGACATATCAGTTCCGTAGCTGCAGCAATGCCCTCTCCTTATGGGTTTAGCTCTCTCCGTGGGCATCATAATAATACAAGGCCGTCTTTAATACTTCCATTACCTCTATGACCGTTAGTCTACCTACATTGGTCTCCAGGGCGGAATGGAGATGAAATTCGACATTTGAGTCAGCGTATTATTATGGTTACACAGTAACAGCCCGGTTGATGAGGCCCTAATCCACCACGAAGCCTGGTTATGGACGGGGCCTCGGGGGCGTTGACCCCCAAAATCCCCTCCGGGTACACCCACATTTTCATGAGACGCAGAATTTACCTCCGACGTCGTCACTGTTGTAACATCTTTAGGCGAGACACATGTCCAACACTGAGGGACTGACCACCTCAAAATTACTTCTTCAAGGCTGATAGACTGATTACATCTTCATATCTCTTCTGCTTCTATTAACTTTTCTGTACTTGACTGTAGAAGCCTACTGTGTAGGCGATACATTTCGAAATAAAGATACCTAAGTGTTGGACATGTCTCTCACCATCTGTCCTTACTTCACCTACGGTATTTTTGGTTGGAAATCTATCACTGTCGTAGTACTGTGACGGTACTCCGCTGTGTCACAGCACCGCACTTGGACACAGCACAGCACTTTGACACAGCACCACACTTTGACACAGCACCGCACTGTGACACAGCACCGCACTTGGACACAGCACTACACTGTGACACAGCACCACACTGTGACAGCACCACACTGTGACACAGCACTACACTGTGACAGCACCACACTGTGACACAGCACTACACTGTGACAGCACCACACTGTGACACAGCACTACACTGTGACACAGCACTACACTGTGACAGCACCACACTGTGACACAGCACTACACTGTGACACAGCACTACACTGTGACACAGCACCACACTGTGACACAGCACTACACTGTGACAGCACCACACTGTGACACAGCACTACACTGTGACAGCACCACACTGTGACACAGCACTCCAATGTGACACAGCACTACACTGTGACACAGCACTACACTGTGACACAACACTACACTGTGACACAGCACCACACTGTGACACAACACTACACTGTGACAGCACCACACTGTGACACAGCACTACACTGTGACAGCACCACACTGTGACACAGCACTCCACTGTGACACAACACTACACTGTGACACAGCACTACACTGTGACACAACACTACACTGTGACACAGCACCACACTGTGACACAACACTACACTGTGACAGCACCACACTGTGACACAGCACTACACTGTGACAGCACCACACTGTGACACAGCACTCCCACTGTGACACAGCACTACACTGTGACACAGCACTACACTGTGACAGCACCACACTGTGACACAGCACTCCACTGTGACACAGCACCACACTGTGACACAGCACTACACTGTGACAGCACCACACTGTGACACAGCACTCCACTGTGACACAGCACTACACTGTGACAATACCACACTGTGACACAGCACTACACTGTGACAGCACCACACTGTGACACAGCACTACACTGTGACACAGCACTACACTGTGACAGCACCGCACTTTGACACAGCACTCCACTGTGACACAGCACTACACTGTGACAGCACCACACTGTGACACAGCACTACACTGTGACACAGCACTATACTGTGACAGCACCACACTGTGACACAGCACTACACTGTGACACAGCACTACACTGTGACACAGCACCACACTGTGACAGCACTACACTGTGACAGCACCACACTGTGACAGCACCACACTGTGACAGCACTACACTGTGACACAGCACTACACTGTGACACAGCACTACACTGTGACACAGCACCACACTGTGACACAACACTACACTGTGGCAGCACCACACTGTGACACAGCACTACACTGTGACACAGCACTACACTGCGACACAGCACCACACTGTGACACAGCACTACACTGTGACACAGCACCACACTGTGACACAGCACTACACTGTGACACAACACTACACTGTGACACAGCACTACACTGTGACACAGCACCACACTGTGACAGCACCACACTGTGACACAGCACTACACTGTGACACAGCACCACACTGTGACACAGCACCACACTGTGACACAGCACTACACTGTGACACAGCACTACACTGTGACACAGCACTACACTGTGACACAGCACTACACTGTGACACAGCACCACACTGTGACAGCACCACACTGTGACAGCACCACACTGTGACAGCACCACACTGTGACACAGCACTACACTGTGACACAGCACTACACTGCGACACAGCACCACACTGTGACACAGCACCACACTGTGACACAGCACCACACTGTGACACAGCACCACACTGTGACAGCACCTCACTGTGACACAACACTACACTGTGACACAGCACCACACTGTGACACAGCACCACACTGTGACAGCACCTCACTGTGACACAACACTACACTGTGACAGCACCACACTGTGACACAGCACCACACTGTGACAGCACCACACTGTGACACAACACTACACTGTGACAGCACCACACTGTGACACAGCACCACACTGTGACAGCACCACACTGTGACACAGCACCACACTGTGAAACAGCACTACACTGTGACACAACACTACACTGTGACAGCACCACACTGTGACACAGCACTACACTGTGACACAACACTACACTGTGACAGCACCACACTGTGACACAGCACTACACTGTGACACAGCACTACACTGCGACACAGCACCACACTGTGACAGCACCACACTGTGAC